TTTCTATTTCACTTAAAAACATTTCCAATTCTTTTTCCAAATAAATAATTCCTTTGATATGATACCTTTACCTATTTGGTTCTGTTATATATTTATTTTACTCTTTTTATTTTACTGCTATTGAACTAGTCATAAAAAAACACTTTTTTTAGAGTGGAAGAGAGCTTTCATATCATGCTTGGAAAGTTCTGTTTGGGGTCAACAAAACGTGTCTCTGGCACATGTTTGTGAATTTAACGTCACGAATTTATCGCTGCATTAACAAAACAAGGCAGCGAAAAGGCAGTAGCAGCATTAACAGCAGCAGCCGCTAAAAAAACATACAAAATTTCACTTTGCGCACAACACGAATTAACGACAATTTCAGTTTGTGTTTTTAGTTTTTAACTGAGCAAAGCAACAGCCATGGAGGCGGCCTGCCATGCTTGAGGGCGCAATTGTGCTGGAGGGCAATGAACGCGGCCTGTTCGGCACCCCAAACCCCCTGAAAAGAAGCCCCATTAGGCTGAATGTTTACTGCCCTGCCAAATCAAAAGCAGGCCACTTGCCATCGTGGGACAGCCCTCAATTCGTGTTGCATTCTGCAGCCAGTTTCCCTGGTTTGCGCTTCACTTTTGGGCGGCGTCAGCACTAGTCGTCACACTCGGCGTATGAGTAATTAAAGGTACCTAGCCAGGGTCAGAATGTGGTGCGGTTGTCTAAGTAACATAGCTAACACGTAACATAGCTAACGGTTGCTTGTGGCCAACAAAAAACAATGAAATTGTGCTACAAGTTAATTTTATTCACCAGTCAGTTGAGTTCATTTCTGCACATGGGAAAATAATTGAAACATATTGTTAGTTAATATCTAAACCAAAGTAGGACAAAAACAGAACTTTTCAAGGTATTCGAATTTATAAAAAAATTTTAATTGTGTTTTTAAAATAGTGTAATGTGAAAAAAATTATGGATAATTTTATCTTTTGCATTGTTGTTTAAATTAAAAAAATATATATTTGGTTCTATTATCAAAGATACTTTATATATTTACTATGATAAATCACCTTAATCATATTGGGTAAAAAATATCTAAAATTATTTAGCAAAAGTCTTAAATAACCTATTAATATTCAAAACATTTAATGGAAATATAAGTTGCTCATTGCTCATGACTTGTAAAATATTTAAGATTTAAAGTTTTAATGATTATTGTTAAAATGCTAAACATGGTTTCTTTTCCGGCGAATGGATATCCAACTAGCAATCTTTTTCTCTGTGTACTTAAAGGGGCAATCATGTCTAACGCACACGCAACACCACAAAAAGGGGAGTAGGAGGCGGAGGAGCAGGAACCGGAAGTGGAGAAGGTGGAGCAGGAAGCGGGTTTTAGCAAGGGTGTAACTCTCGCTGACCTTCAGGTGTGCGATGAGTTGGGGGCCGCTGAATCAGCTTATATTTAAAAACAAACTTTACTAAAAATATGATTATCAAAGAAGAGATTCGGAGAGAGAGCGGGAAGCTGGTCCCTAGCAACATCTGGTCGCAGCGAGTGCTTAGAGTGTGAAATTCAAATTAACAAGCCAGCATGCTCCGCACGTAGAGCCCGAAATGTGGGTAAACCGACGGCCAGAGCCGCAGTCATTCAGTAATATTTAATGCTTTTGGCGACAGAGCAGAGCAGCGGAATGAAAACAAATAAAAGAACCCAAAACACACGGAGTCTCACAAAAATTGTGCAAACATTGAACCGGTTGTAGTTTTTGCCCAGCCACTCGCCCATTTGTTGTTAGCCACCTTTGTATGTTCCAACTCCACCTCCACGTGACTTGGCCAGCTAAAATCACAATGCAAAACCAGAAGGCCTTAAGTATGCTTCTTGCACGCTTCATTAATGATTAACCCGCTATTGTTGCCGCTGCTGCAATGCAATATTCTGTGATCCCCAAGGTCAACTGCTTTGGCAATCGAGCGGAAATCGAGCGACCGACTCAGCGTTAGTTACAGCTAAAAATCAGTGAATAAGATGCAAATTATAGTTGCTTACTTATGCGGGGAAAGGTATACATATTTCCAAAATCATTTTCTGATAAAACCGAACTTTGAGTGCCTATTCTTTTCTTTTTAACTTTCTGTGTCGGAATTGGTTTTATACAATTTTTCAAGAATTTTGGTTGTCATAAATATCTGTAGATAAAATGAGAGGGGTGTTTAAGGTGATGGTTCAAAGTTATTTTTATTTTTAAAAAATGTTATCTTGCTCAATAAATATTTGATTCTATATAATATACTAGACAACAAACTGGTAAATATTTGCAAAAAAATTAATAAAAACGTGGTTAAAAATATTATCATGTTGAAACAACTGGAAAGTACGGGTTCTAAAATTTTTTAAAGACATAATTTAATCGATAAGGTTATTTATGAAGAGCAACACGAAATTCGTCATTTAGTTCGTAAAAAAGTTCCATTAATGTTTAACACTTTTTTTCGGTTTTAGCGAAAAGAACAAGAGTCACTTGAAGACGCCCGCGCCCAAAATCGAAAATCAAATGCCAGTGCGTGTTGGGTAAAAAGATTCCCACCTCCGAAAATGGCTGAGGGTTACAACTGGATGTGGGCCAAGTAAACAAGCAAAAAGCAGCAATGGGCAGTCAGCATTAAGTATACGCGACGTAAGCCGACAGATTGGTCTATTTGGTAATCCCATATGTTATAATTGAGAACGGAAAAACGGAACGAGGAAAATGCGATAGGGGTTGGGAAACGCACAGAACGAAAGTGAGTGTGTAAGCCCGCAGTTAGCCGGCATTTCGGTTTTTTTGGGCCTGGGTTTGGGCCGGGTTCGTCAACCCGCTGGCAGCGCGGGAAATGTGAAAATCAGCCGTTTTTCCCCATGGCGCCGGCGCACTGGCATGTGAAAACTCCATGGGGTGGCCAAAAAGGAGTTGTTAAAATGCAACGGCATGTGCACAACCTCCTCCCAACAAAAAGAAATGGGAAAGATGAGTCGCCGCACCTTTTACCCAAAATGGTGTTTCCTTTGATACTCCTCTGCACTTGCAAATTATTTATTCTTAATTGCACTTCAATTCTTTGGTGGCTCTTTGGTGAGTCCTTTTTTTGGGTGGAGTACACTTTTCACTACGAATTTCAACTGCTGTGAAGCCAATTATTTGGTCGCAGCTGCAACTTCTGCGCTGTGCTAACGACAACTTCGCGGCACGAAAGCTCAAGAGCGACTGAGCCAAATCCCAGTGGGTCCCAAAAGCCGAAACCCCAAACCCAAGCTTTTTGTGGAGCGGAACGTTTGGGTTTCGGAACGCCAAAAAAGCTCACGGCTCTCAACGACTTTGGTTAGCCCTACAATCGAGAAGCTAAAGTATGTAGAAAAACATTAATTAGTATCTATCGTTTAATAAAAGGTTATATTCTCTTCGTGCTAATGAAATGGTATAACAAAGTTTGAAAAACTATAATTGTGTAGTATATTAAACCTAAAGAGATTCCTAGTAAGGCATTAAGAGTGTTATTAACAGGAACCTTCGACTTTAAAAACTGCATAGGTTTTTTTTTTAAGATTTATAATTTAGTTTAATTAGCTTTCGGTAGCATAACTGATTCACACAAGATCTCAAAATGCAAAGATTTTGGTCAATTGGTAAAAGATCCAAAAATAAAAATCTTTTTCATTTTGTCTATAGTTGATCTTTAAACAATTTTTAATATTTTTTCTGAATATGTTTATGTTTATACATTTTATGTTTAATACATTTAAGTTTATTAACATTTTTGAGTACGTAGATTTTGGCAAATTACGATTTAATCAAATTGCCCTTTCTTATATTCTGCGATGGAAAAACAAAAATATTTAAATATTATTCTAGAACATTTTTTAGACATAATTTTTAAGGTTTAAAAAAAACGTAGGTCTTTGAAAATTATTTAACGAACATTTGTGACCGACAATACCCAATCTCTTTAAATTAAATGAATTTCTGCTTTGATATGTGGTTCACATTCTTTTCGATGTATATATCTTAAGGGAATACCTAATTAAAAAGCTATTTGGTGATTCTCAGTTTAAATTGAATTGATTTTCTAACTTTGCCTATTTGTAAATAAGTCAAACAAATGTAGATGCGCCGTGAGTTGACTCGAACAAACTTGTAATTGAAGCTTAATTAACAAACAGTTTGTGCTCGAAAGTTTTTTAAATGATGTGGAGGCAAAGTTGTCGTTCGCCGGCCAATGGCCACTGGCCACCGGACCATTGAAGTAAGGGGCTAGGAAACCCCCGGACCATTAGCACGCCCAGCGTGCCACAAAGAAGCTGCATGCAAATCTAATTAGGAGCGAGGAGAGACCAAGGTCCAATGGTGGTGCAGCTCCTGGACGGATAAATGGATGCACGGCTCACAATGGCCGGTGTACGCCAGCGAAGCCACCAGCCACTGACCCAATTATGCTAATACGGCGGTGGCCGAGCTCAAAGGCAAAGCCTTTGACGTCATGTCACCCGGATGAATGTCTGGGATGCCAGGGAATAAAGAATGAGGCAAGACCGGCTTACACCTGGAGCAATATCGGTTGCTTTGAAAATTGCGCAATATGACAGGATAATTGCATAAAAGGGTCCTATGGCACACCTGAGCCTTATTGCCCTGAATGATGGAATGGAATCCAAGGCGGCACTTGGACACTCGACTCCCAATTGCCATTGGCATTGCCATTCGCCATTTGCCATTTCCGTGCATATTAGAAAATTGCTGGAGCTCAAGTCGCACTTCAAAAACCAAGCAAAGGTGACAGGTCCATCCGGCTGGTGCGCATGTCCCCAGCGTCCTCCATTGTTCCTGTCCTGCTCCTGTCGTCGGTTGGTCGGTCGGGCAACAGGTGCGCGCAGGTGGAGCGTGGTCGGGGTGGCGGAAAAGGGTTCCCGTCGAGCGGGCTGGGTTTGGCCCGCAGTCCGCAGTCCGCGAGGAGCTATAAAAGCGCACGGTGCGGGCCACTTGCCCGTCAGTCGTCAGTCCTCCGGCGTGGAATTCGATCTTGGTCGTGGGAGCAGCTCTCCTCTTTGAAATTTCACCACCTTCGGTTGAGATGTGTTTGCAAACTATTTAGCGCTGGCGAGTCCGTAAAATGTAACAATACCCCGAAGGCGGTCCTTAGAAAATCAGCCACATAATGTCGCACCTGCTGGTGAGGCGACGGATTCTGCTGATGGTCCTGCTTTTTGCAGGTAAGTTCACTTAGGTCCCAAATGACATCGGAGACTGGGAGAAGTTATATTAAGAAAGCCATCTTTAAAGCCTTTGGCAAATAAATTTAAATAAATTAAGTTTAATTGCTTTTAAAATAAATATGCAATTGCACCGATAAGCGTTCAATTTTAATCAGATAATTAATGCATGCTTTAATGCTTAGCTTCTTTTCTGAAAAAAAGAAAATAAAATAGGGAAATTGTTATGAAAATACAAATGACACCAACTAAAGATATCCTTACTATAATTTAAGTAAGATTATAAGAATTATTAAAAACAAGAAATGAGTTGGTAATATCCGAAAACATCAAACATTTGTTCTTAAAGAAGAAATTAAGATAAATTAAATTTTATGAGAATGAAGGAATTTATACTGCGGCAAAATACTTTAAGGGAAGTAACAATAAATGGGCTTGTATTAAATGACATTTAAAAAGGTAAGGGAGATATTTCAACAGGTTAATGAGCATCGGATTAATGGATAAGGTTTAAATTTCATAGTAGGGAAAAGGAAGTTATAAATTAAAAGATATTAGTTAATTATTCCTTGATTCATTTTACTAAAAATTTTCGTAGAGATTTGAAATTAAACATTTTTTTTAAATTGTAAACTATATTAACAAAGGAAGTATAATATAATGTTTTGTTAGCCTTTCTAGCTTTTTGAACCCAATGATATACATGAAACAGGCCTACATGCTTATCTCTTTTTATGGTTCATAATGTACATACATATGTCCCTTGAGGTAAAATAGCTCCAATTGTTACCCATTTATCATTTAGGCACTTGTGTTAAATTGAAAGTTGACCTTTTACTAGCAGTCATTGCGCCTATCACTAATTAAAATCTGTAGGGCAGGAGCGGAAATTGGATGTCGTGCCGTTTTTGCGACGCCAACCCTATTTGTTCCTAAGTGACTGCCCCAAAATCCTGCGGGAGCACACAATTAATGGCCCCTTCTGCCGATATGTATTTCCACCGACAGCTCCACTGCGAAACGCACCTTTCGGCGGAGCACAGGTGGCAATAGCAACAGCAACAACCACTGGCCGTGACCGCCAAATTCCGCCGGAGTGGCAGCGGGACTGGGAGTTGGATCCGGACTGGGACTCCAAGGGGAGCGGACTCAGGGACTCGATGCCGCCGCCGCCGACGTCACGCGCTTTCGACGACCTTTATCGTGTTGACAGCGGAAATCCCCTGCCGAAATCGAGTGACTCGGAAATGGACAACCCACTCGGAGATAACTATTTGCCCCCGTATCCGGAGTTGTTTGGTCGCCAGTGGCACCTGCAGCACCACAAGCAGCTGCAGGTGCAGCACAAGTGGCAATCTCCGCCAGGTGCGGAGGTCAAGGGCAAGAGGTCGCCCCTGAAGTGGCCCCCCGACGACGAGGACCAGATGCCACCATTCGCCTACGCCTACTCCTTGCCCTGGAAACGAAAGCAGCTGCCCCAGCCCCCCCGCTATAGGCCCTCGATCAGTGCTGGTGAGTATGGGTTGCAACTTGGTCCTTAAGAAGATTGGTAAGAATTTCTGGGGAAATGCGTAGCCTAATACATGACAAACATTTCTTAGGGCTTCCATTTATAAGGTAAATAAATAGAGCCTAAGTTCGAAAATTTGAAAAGTCGAATCCACCTTATTGGCAAGAAAGCCCTCGGTAAAAACTCTCGGATTAGACTTAGAGCATAACATTTTTATAACGAAAAAGAAATTTGATTTCTGCATGTTGAGGTTTCTATTCCTACCTTTGCTGTTATGCTGAAAATTGATAAGACTATTTGACCAGATCGATAGATGAAACTTGTGAAACAAACTGTTTTAAATCAGACGGTCAGGATCCATATACGCACAATGCTTTGAAAAAAACAAAACTTTGCCAATTTTTAACCATGGGAACCATAAAATATAGTCATATGATTAGCAATATTTTTAAACATAAATAGTGTACACACACGATCAGCACTGTTTTCAAACTTGATTTCATTTAAAAGACGATTGAAAAAGGTTTAAATCTCTAGATTTTATACTGGTGCCAATATTTGAATACCCTATGGAGGGGTACGTATACTTAACATTTTTATTCCATGTAATTGAGACTTAGGGGTTTTTGGGCTTTAGTTATAATCACACCGTTGTTAGTTCCTTTTGCCTGATTTTCTTTCCAGGAGCCATGACCAATCTGGGGGGCTTCTTCAACCAGCTGGAGGCGAACCTGCGCTTCGCGGAGCAGTCGCAACTGGGCGAGACGGAAACGCGAATGCTGGAGGGGAAGCACCCGCACCCCCTGCACTTGCCACCCATGCCACCCGAGGCTTCGGATGAGCCCGCCCAGCAGGAGGAGCAGGACCGGAAGACGTCGAAGCTCCTGCACGCCCTGCGCAGCTACAGGCCCTCCCAGAAGATCCGATCGCTGGTGTCCCGCAATCCGCAGGGATATCGCGGCTCCCAGTTCATTGACCCCAGCTACATGTGGGTGGGCCTGGGCAAATGACAATGAGTTGAACGGCCGACTATTCAACCATAGGTACCTAAGCAGCTGCAACGAATGCCGCCCCGAGACAAGTTTTAAATTATGCTCCTCTGTGTGTGTAGAAAATATATTTGAATGCCTGTCAGAGCAAAAATTAAGAAGGTGTGTTTAAATTTCATGGAAGGTATGAAGACTTGTGGGAATTACGCAGATTTTTAACTCTAATTGGCTTCTTGAACCGAGAAATATAATTTAATTTTCGTCTTCTTAAGAGGCCTTCCAATTATAGGAAATGATCACTATTGTGCAGCAATTTAATTATATGTAAAAATGCCAGCACTGCAATGAAATAATATATGGACATCTTTTTAATAACAATAAAATTGTTAAGTCTGAATTAGTCTATTTTTAATCGTGGATCTTCTTGATCTTTTTTAACGTATAGATCCCATAATACAAATAATAGTCGAAAACAATTTGGATTGTGTCCGATAATAATTCAGTACGATACGTTTATAACATCAAGGAATGCCTGGAAAAATAATGCTCAAGATTATCTTTTGCTTTACCGTGCTTTCAATGAGCACTACATATATGATAATAAAACGAAATTGGCATATGCTAAACCGCCCACTTTATGATCATACATTACTATGATCATAAAGTGGGCGGTTTAGCATATGCCAATGCCGTTTCGTAAAACATGTTATCTTTATGGGAGTGCCATTATTGTAATCTATAAGTAACCATATTTTTTATAAAATTTACATATTTCTTTAAATAAGAAATTTTTTTCTGCACACCCAATTCAAACGGTGTTGGCCCTCTGCGACTTAAAATAGTTTATACCCATTAAAAAGTTTTTCTAAACATCAAAGTTTTCCATCATATGCCGCCTCACAGATTTGTAAGCTGAATTTAAAAAATAATAGTCTATACCTAGGTAAGGTACTCGGTATTTGCAAAATTTAATCTGAATTATTTATGGATAAAATGCCTCAAGTTGCCGTCGTGTCCCTGCCTTAGCTTACCAATTCTGCATTCTAAATTCTAGTTTGCAAGCAATTGACTATGGAGTAGTTCTTGTGTTTTCATTGGGTATTCCCGCACTCAACAAATTTATTGAATCAATTCTATTTAGGATATTTATTATTTTTAGTTGAAAAACTAGGCGACATGGTGAAATTATAAAAGAAACCCCATTTTTATTATTTAATATAACTCATTTACATAAATGAAGTGTATATTTAAATGGGTATAAGGAACTCCCTTGACCTCGAGAAGGCTTGCAATAACTTTTAGGAAATGAGTAAAAACTCAGCCAAATAAATTCTTTACATGTGTGTATATAAAATATATTTTCGGAGCCAATCGGCAATTTCATTCGAATAGATAAAAACACTGAAGAGTTAATGTTAATATATGTATATGGAAGTAAGTGAAATGACGTTATGGTCTCAAAACCCACAAGAATTAGATGCACATACAAATATCGTACTTAGCTGCATCGAAATTACAAGATAATAGCTAATTTTGGTGTTACTAGTATTAAGGAACTTCCAATAAAAACATTCGAAAGGTATGTGATGCAGACAAAGTTCGTTTAAGAGGACTGGTGTGCCTGCTTATATCTTGGTGTAGCTGGGATAGGTGTTAGCCTGCTGGGTTGGCGGCGGGATCAGAGGGCGCTGCATCTCACTGGAGCCCTGGATCTGTTTGAAGAGCGAGTAGATTCCATAGTACAGATACCAGCCGAGCACTGAAACAAGCAAATAGAGAACAATCAGCATCGTGTCCGAGTGCAATTACACGACGATCACAGACGACCAAGCACCAAGCGATAAGCGCACTGGGGATTCACAATTTCGCCACAAAGACTGTGTAGACTCATTTCCAGCAATACATACATATGTACAAATGTGTATATATTTTATGGAGGCGGATGAGTCACGTTAAACTTACCCAGCATGAACACAGAGAGCAAGATAGCTGGCAGGGCACTCATGAAGGGCATCGAGGATTCGATGATCTGGGCCCACAGGCTAATATTGGCGATAATTCCAAAGGCCAGGAGCACTCCGTTGTTGATCAGCCAAGGAAGCAGAAGCAGGTGACGTTCCTGAAAGGAAAACCATCGTTTAAGGATTACGTAAATAGTCACAAGCAGTTCTACTTGTATTTAAAGGTATAAAAGTAGCTTTATAATATAGAGAGTTAATTTCTTGCTAGAACAATCTGGTCTAGTTAAGCGTATACCTTTTTATTTAGGAAGATAAGTTCCATTAACTCCTAGACTTACCTTAACCGTTCCCACGACCAACATGACCGATGCCAACAAATTGATCACCTTCAGCGCCAGGTAGACACTGAAGAATATGATGAGTACTGAAAAACCACAAAATTGTACATATTTTTTTGACTTGTGAGTGCAGTTTATGGTTATGGCTAACCCTTACCTGATCGAACCTCGCTGACAGACATATCGGGATTTTTCCCGGACTCAACGATCTGCTGCGCAATTTCATCGACAAATCCCAGGCCCACTGCCAAAAGGATCGTGGCCAAAAAGGAGAATATTGCCCCCAACCATCCAATAACCACACCGTAGGTGCTTAGCCGCATGCAAAAGACGCTGGTCAACATTTTCACTGGAATTGGTAACTTCTCTTTTTGCGGTGTTTGGGGTAAAAGCAAAACCTCTTTTGTTCGCCGGCGCCGTAAAACTGCAGTTGCAAATAAGTCGCAAATTCCTGACAATTGAAAGCTTTCGTGAAAAGCGTTGCCAGATCGGGGGAATTGATGCTAGCAGCAACTGTGACTCGTTCACTAACATGCTACTTTTTTTTTAATTTTAAATCTTTAAAATGTATTATCTGATAATATTTTTATACATAAGATATTTTAATTAAAAATATTTACTTTCAATTCTTAAGTTTACGTTAATGCGCTTAATTATAAACCAGAGCTCTGATTGGAAATCAAATAAACTCTTTTAAACAAATATTAAAATAAATATATTTACTTTTGTCCCATTTATAATTTTATTTCGCATGTATATCATATTAATCTATTTGTTTCAACTGAAGCATAAATGCCCTACATTTTGTTGGATCCGTTAGATCAAGGCCTACTTTTATAATTCACAAATATGCAATACAAAAGTGTGTAAGCAAGGGAGATAACATGTCAAAAGATTAATGTATTATTAAATTATATTCTTCTGTTTCTACGCAGTTTACAGGCGCAGTTTATATGGCAACAGACTCTATCTTAGAAGATATGGGCACACCATCACGGCTGTAACACGTTCAAATAGTAACCGTTAATGAAAAAGTTGAATATTGTGATTGTTTTAAATCGAGCTGTGATGACATCGAATCTCAAATGTGTATTATATACAAATATCTTCCCGCACTCCCACTCTGTTTTTGTTCAGGTTCTCTCGCAATTTTATTTGTTAGCCACATAACAACATATAACCATTTTTTAATAAAATTCAGACTTAAAAGAACTCTTAGAAAATAAATCCTTTGAATCATGTAAGTATATATTTTGTATATCTGTTGTATATTCTTTAAATGCTCGCTATGTTTATGGGATGAAGTTACTCCTTTGATATAAGGCTTACATATAACAATAAATGAAACTTAACTGAAATAAATTCGGGGTAGTGTTTCTCTACTAAAAGTCCCCCCCACACAAAAACAATATGACGTAATCAAAATGTTGTCTGTTTTAACCCACCTACCAATTCATTGATGTATATAATGACTTTTTCTTTAACCCTCCTATCAAGCATACAAATTGCGTAGCATATGGACGGCTCTCTATAAAACAAAATTTTTGTTTATTCCGCATTGAAAGTATATTGAAGAATCTGAATACAGCTAAAATATAAAAATAATTTTTTGATAATAAATTAAGTACAGTACTTTGGTATTCAGTTTCGTCCAACTGTAGCTAATCTTAGAGAGAGCTGCTTATTCGATTCAGTTGCTATTCGATTCTCGCCCAAAGCGGTCGTTTTTCCGTGCGCTTGGAGCTCTCAAACCGGTTTAGAGCCGCATTGTTTTATTTGGAAAAATTTGGAACAAACTATTAAATCTCAAAATGAAAATCGACTATGTGGTGGATCAGGGACCGTGCAACACGGAGCTGAGGAGTTGGTGCATTGGGATAGCGATCTACTGGCTGGTTAGCATGACTCTTACCGTGCTTGTCTCTCCAAACGGTATGGAAATTCGAGGCGTGGCATTTGTTTATTCCCAGTTAACCAAGCTAACGGCACTGCCATACAAAATAAATATATGTATACAAACAAAATAAAAGATTGAGCTAATCTTTTCGAGACAATTCACAAAATTTCAGATACATCACATCCGCTGATGACGACATCGGTGACAAATTTGAGCTTGTCTTTCTTATTCTAGATACATATATATGTGTGTATTTCTGTACACAAACAAAAAATCTCTGAGTTTCAAGTGAATAAATGTGGTATTAAATGATACTATACCTAGCATAAATTCTGTGGGATCAAGTTGATCCTTAATATGTGTCAATCGAAAAAACTGTGAAAATCAGAGATTTTAACTTGGACGGCTCAGACTAAAATAAAAAAAAATCATACTTTTTCTTAATGATAATTAAATAAAAATGCTAACGAAAACTTTATTTGCAGTTTTAAACTTTATCGGATTTGTTATAGTAATTATCGCCAATGTTTGCTTGCTGATCGGAACGCAAAGGGTAATAATGAAATATATTTATATACATACATATGTATATTAACATTCTCGTTGAATCATAATCCCCCTTATCAATTTCAGGAAAATCGAAAATTGGTCTTCGTCTGGCTGATATTTGCCATTATTGAAGTAATAAGCTTTCCGTTTGCTGTTTTCGGTGTAATCTTCCATTACGGAGGATACCGTGAGGCCACTGGTGTTAATAACACCTTCGGCGCCTTGCTCGTTTACATCATTGTGCTTAGTAAGTATTCGTAATGCCATGCGAAAATACATCCAACATCTGACATATAATCTCTTCCACACTTCAGTATTCATGCTCTTCGCTGCACGTATTGTATACTCCTTCTACCTCCAGCTTAAGAGTCGCGAGGAGAGCAATCCTCCACGCACCACGAATGTAGTTTAGTGCCATACTTAATCTTATTTTTGGGGAAGCCCACAGTTCTACTTAACTCAGAGTTGTTAATAAAGTGCGATTTTTACTTGATTGCAATTTGTCGTTAAACACTTCTTTTATTCACATCGACTCGGGGAGCAACTATCAACAGTTAAATACATTGGTTACATACATATACATACAGGGTGCTATTTGCTATTGGGCTACCGCGTTCTTAAACACTCAACATTTAAAACGATCGATCACACTACGGACATTTATATATTCGACCCAGTTGTCTATCTATATAGCTAGCTATCATACTCGGCATCGTCTTTTGCTCCATCTTCTATCTTCTTACTTAGACATAAAATGGAAAGTTGGTCTTCTTATTGTTGCTGCTGTTATTGGTGCTTTGGGTCTGCGTGAAACTCGTCTCGGCGTTTTGGCTGGTTAGCTTGGCCTGCACGGCGGCCAGGATGCGGGCTGCCTGGCCAGTACTGCCCGGCTCCATGACAGACTCCAAGCCCAGATTCAGATTCAGCTTGAGCTCGAACTGTGACCCACTCGCTTGGATCTGCGACTGTGTCTGCCGGTGGGCAACGGCCGGTTTTCATCTTGGCGTGGTTATGCTGGGCAGCTTCTCCAGGAAATCGTTGGCCAGCACCTCCTCGATCTCCTGCAGGCAGTTGGCCACATCATTCTCCGTGTCTGCGAAGTTACGCGGCTGGGGGCAACTAATGCCCAGCGTGGTGAAAAACGCGTACAGGTCCTGTAGCGATTGCAGTTGCTGGAAGTGCAACATCAGATGTCTATTGCTGGGACGTTGTAGTATCTAGAAAAAAAGGAGGATTAGTTAACCAGATAAAGCATATGAAAAGTCATATCATAACTTACCGGCGACTGACTGGTGTACTTCATGTCCATCAGCCTCGCCACACGCCTCACATGCGGTACATACAGTGCGTTTGGCAATGTGGCCAGGTTATCCAGGCTTCCGTTGGGCAGGCCCACCTCCTCCACATGAACATCGAACTCAGTGCCGACAAATGCCCATCGATACATCTGGAAATGTGGCAGCTTGGTGGCGGGCAGAACGCATCCCAGTTCCAAGAGTTTGCAGGCTTCTAATTGTACTGATCTCCAATGCTGCATCGGAGTCTGCGAGTTGTAGCCATTGCTAGCCCCAGAAGCAGAGGACCAGGACACATCGATCCCCGAAAGCATCCGCATTTGAAGGCTGCAATTTGTGAAAATAGTTGTCATGGTTAACGGATGACTTATTTGATTGGGTGAATAGCTTACTTCCTCTCCTCGCTCTCCGATTTGAGCTCCTGCTCCATTTGCAGAAAAACTTGGACCATTTCCGCAATGATTATTGGCCACAACGAGGTGACGTGGTCGGGTGACATGCGTAGGAGCAGTACACGGAAGCATAGAAAAACGGCGGCCTGCACGGAAGGACCCATGGGAACTAGTCGCAGACTGTTAGCCAATTGCTCTGTGGCAAAATAAAAAGTATATTGTTAATTTTAATTAACTAAAGTAATTAAATAAGTAATAAGTACTGAAGTAGCAAAATTTAGGAAAAGTATATCAATTCATAATGGCTGGCCCTATGAGAATTTATAGTCTAGAAAGTCATAAAATTTCCTTGTTAACCAAATGCAGAAATTGAATAAAAGCTAATGTCTCAAATATTCTACACCCAACTCACCCTGGATGTCTGGCATGTACTTGTTGTGCTGGTCAAACTCGCTGCAGTAGATGACGAAGGCGAGCCGCTTGAGCAGCATGGCCCGCTGCTCGTACTCCTGATCCCGCGACGTGAAGATGTTCAGGCTGCCCGCCTGCGAAAGTGAGACGCGGGTCATCAGTTCCCGGAAGGTGGTGTTGTCGTAGGTCATCAGGCTGTCCATGATCATGCGCCAGAAGGGCAGGCATGAAAGGTGCATCTGGAAGAAGGCGTTGTCCAGCAGTAGGTCCAGCATGTCCTTCCGCCAGGCCTTTCTCGTATACTGGTAGCCACTCAAGCTGGCCAGGAGAGCGGAGCAAGCGTAGAAGAAGGGTACATTCCGGGCTGTGTGGTTCTTCAAATACGGGGTGATATTGTAAAGCAGCGGCGTCACTATGTTGACCACCTTGTCCTTCTCCTGGGAACCGTATGCCACGTCCAGTAGATTGGAGAGAATGCCTGCCAGCACGCTCTGAGCCTGCAGCGAATATTGCTGTACTCCACCTCCTCCAACGCTGTTGTCCTTGGCCAATCCATCGGTATCTTCTTTAACGGCCAGGTTACGACGCAGCCAGGTGGTCTGTTCTAGACAGGATCCTGCCACACTGGAGAGGGAGTCTACCAATCGGGACGTCACATCATGCAGCTCTCGCACCTCTTTCTTATCCTGGAATGGCATCTGCGGGCAGCGCTGGACAAACTCGTTCAGCAGCATCAGTAAAGCAAACTGCGCCGGTGGTGTCAGATTCAAACCATCCCGGATGAGGGCCAACAGTGAGCTCCAGGCATCCGCTAATTGGGGAGCAGGAGCAGACCGCATGTAGAAGTAGAAGAGCTCCAGAGAGCTAACCTCGATGCTGAGCTGGGCAGGTGGTCGATGGATTGGCGGAGGCGAACGCACCACGTGGTGCAGCGTCATTACGAAGGAGTCCATCGGCATCACCCGGATGCTAGAGACCAGAGAAACCAACGAAAGCTGGGCAGGACACGCCTGCAGCGTGGAGTTTCTCTGGAACTGCTCTGCGATGCTCAATCCGCTCATATTTGAGGCAATCCCCCGCTGCTGCCAGGTGACAGCCACGGCCGCGAGGAAGTTGCAGCCATGATGTAGCGACACTGGCGAAAGGAACTCAAGAAGCTGCTGGCGAACCGGACGCAATTGCCCAAGCTCGCTATCCCATATGGCAGCCACGCTGCTCATGATCCTTGGAAGATGCGAGAGGACTGCATTGCGTGCAGCCTGCAATTGTGGGTTCCTTGGAGCCGGCGCCGAAGTTGAGGATTCGCTGGCCGATCGGAAGGAATGTACAATGCTATTGAGCAACTGACCCGTGCTGGAGCTCTGCGCCGAGGAACTGGTCTGCGGGTAGGCTTGATTAAACAGGTGTGAGAGCGCCGTCTGCTGCGTATTGTCCAGTAAACAGTAGTGACACAAGATAGTTAACGCCTCAAGTTGGGATACCGCATAGTCTGGCGGGAAGTGTCGCTGCTGGGGGAGGCCCATCTTGGCCAGGCGATCCAGGTTACTACATAGTTGATGAACTACGCTGATCACAATGTTCGTGAGTGAGCCAAAGGAGAAACAGTTAAGCGAGGAGGTCACCAAATCCGTCCAGTTGCGGTGCAAGTGACGCAAGCGTTCCTGCTGCAGTGCACCCAATACGGCGGCCAGGAACATGGGTTGCTGGCTAATCAGACAATTAGGTAGATACTTCACATTGGCCGCTGCTCCCTCGGCCAAGCGAGTGGGAGATGCATTTCCCGCCGAATCCTCGCCAGCAGCGGGAGGCGTATCCTGTCGCAACTGATGAACCTCGTGCTCCAGGCGGATTACAGCCAAAAGCAAACGCAGCAGCTGGAGCTGGAAGCAGTCCGCATGCAACTGATCATCCTGAGGATCATTAAAGCTTAGCACCTGCTCCGCATAGCTTCCGCTGTTTGAGTTGGCCTTACGGCCATAACTACACACTGAGCTGTTGAGGCAGTGCAGCATCACCTTCTGCAGCTTGGCGCGGGCCAACAAATCGGCGATATAATTGGCCAGACCCCTTCCCATGCCCTTGACGATCTCTATGAGCTCGGAGCAGATCAGGGTCAGCAGTTCTATGCTCTCCAGCTGGATCCTCCGGTTGTTCACAATGTCCTGGAGCATGGGGGGCTGTCGCTGGGCATCCAGAGATTCTTTCTGGAAGTAACCACGGGCATAGAACAAACAAAGCGTAACCAGCAGCTCCAGTTGCATGCAGCCCCGATATCCTTGAGCATACTCGGAGCTACCCACTCCACCGTCGAATCCTTTGCCGGAAATGCTCTTGCGATGGCGTACGAGCAACTGCTTCAGACTGGCGCTTGAAAAGGATGTGGTTATTGACAGGCAAAGGAAGGTACGTCGATCGCAGCAGATAATGTTGCGAAGCGTCTGCAACGCATACAACGTCTGACGAGTGTCGTAGATAGCCAGATAGATCAGCAGGTGGTTGTGGTACAGGTGGGCCGCATCCGTTAGGGAAACGCTGCTCTTCACAGAGCTGCGTAGGCTGACCTGCTCTTCTGCTGCCGCCGCCGCTGCTGCAGCTGCAGCTGCGTTATTCTGCCGCAGGATCTCCACATTCTGTTTGCCCTTTTCTAGGGTTTTTTGCATATCGGGCTGAAGTTTGCTAGTCTCCAGGCTGAGGTTACGTCGCTTGTCCTCTACATTAATGGTGGATTCAGTTCCTGGCTCTGTTTCCTCCTCTGGCTCTGGTTGTTCTACGTGGGAGCCGCTGAGATTGCTGTCTGTGGAGGTCTTTGAAATGCAGCTAAGTCGCTTTTTGTCGCCAGCAGTCAGCATTTTTTTACGTTTGCCCAGCTTTTTATCTTCTCTAAAATATTCATCCGCTGGAAGCGCATCTGCCTGGAGATCTGGGATGCTTTGATGATCATTATCCTTTTGCTCCAGGGAGTTAAGACTGTTTTCCCCCGGGGTTTTCTCCCTGGTCAACCGATAGGTCTTGCGGCTCTTTATCTTTTCGTGCTGGGTCAACGCCTCGGTAACGCTTTCACAATCGCCCACAAAGCGCTTGACATCATCGCTAACACCAGCACTGGAACTAACCGTGAGGCTGTCCTCCTTCTCAAGGCTTGTTTCGCGAAGCTCTGAATCGGATTCGAAGTCGCTGCTGTCCGAATGGTCCGTAATATCCTGATCATATTGAAGACTCTGATCCGGCTGGTGGGGTGGCTGCTCCTGCGAACCTTGTTCACTCTCGTCCATTGCACTGGCTAGTTTCTGCTCCAGCGGCGTCTCCTTGTGCGGGATCTCAATGCGGGGCTCTTCAAGATCCGTTTCGTCGTCAAAGTCGTTGGCATTTTCCAAAGGATTGATGATCAGTCCGATGGTGTTCACATCCTGCGT